TAAAAAAAAAAAAAAAAAAATCCTCTCCAATTAAGATTCATACACCCGCCTCAATTTCAAATATTAGATTGTACCACACTTGAAACCAAAAACAATCTTGATATTTAATAAAGTTGATAGGTAACAATATGATATAAAAATAAAAAGAGCAAATGGGGGAAGAAATCAAATGATATACGGGGAAAGAATGTGAGCCGACCACGAGATAGGGTCAATCGAAGGACCGGGCAATCTAATCATCGATATTACAACACTACGAAAGCAAACAGACCTTGCTTTTTAGCCACCTTGTGTGTGTATGTGTATGTGTGTGTGTGGGGTTCAAATATTTGGAATGCTACTGATTTAGAGTGGCCTGGTGTGCCTACCACTTGCCCTGCCACACAGAAGAGCATTCTTTGGAATGGGGTACTCGTCCCTAAGCGACGTCGATGGCGTATACACGCGGAGGTAGAATTGCTGTCCCAGATACTGTCTAGCCCAAAACTCCGACCTCATGTTCCACATCCCTACGTTGTCCAGGGACATGTAAATTGCAGTCCATGACAAAGGGTATACCTGCCCCAAACACCATCACATCATTTACGAGCCTAAAAGCCAAAAGGGAATCCAAACTCGATGCTCACCTGAATCGTACAACGAGCTATTGCATCCCGCAGATTGTACTGCCCTCTGCTAGACTCACTCCACTGCCCTCCATCCATACTGACAAACACAACACTTTCAGAAACATCCTATATTGATTCATCAGATATCCACACAAACATATGTGAGCTTACCCGACCACAAAGAAAGAGTAGCCATCAATATGCCAACTTTGGACAATGTTCTCATTGTTTTGGAACACAATTTCAACAAACGCTCTGTAGTCTGCACCCATCACTGATGTGTCGAGGTACATTCCTCCACCGGTAGGGCGATCGGAGATACTTCCGACGCGAAAAACCCCTCCTATTTTGAAGAAGTCGGCAAGTTTCAGGGGAGTGTCAGCCGGGATGAAGGAGACTCTGTTAACCGCATATCTTTGTTTGCTGTTGATTAGGCCAGCAGAACTTTCAAGTATGATGGTTCTGCTTGTGTTTACCAGACCATAGTGATATGATCCTTGTGGGTTTGGCCTTGGTCCACTGGCTGTAAGGTTGGTCCTGCAAACACAAAAACGCCATAATCAAGACTATAGCAAGATATGGAAAATCACAGACTAACCATTTGGTCTGGTTATCACCTAATAGAGCGAGCTTGGTTGAGAGACCAGCCGACTTCTGTGGTTGGAGCTCCAGGAAGAGGGCCTTTGACAGGGCCAGTAGAGTTACTGTAACGAAGAGTGCCGGTGGTGGTGAGCACTGGGTTGGTGAAGCGAGAAGAGACGACAATGTAGTAGTCTTGAGCTGGCTGGTCGGCTGTGACGAGCACGGAGTAAGACTGACCGACATGAATGTCGAGCGAGGAGTACGTGGTTTGAAGGGTATGTGTTCCCTCCACTTCTACAAGCTTCATTTGATGTCCTTGAATTCGGAAGTTGAGGGAATGCTGCAGCCCCACATTTGAAATTCTCAACCTGTAAGTTTTTCCTGCAACAGCATAGACATGAATGATCATCTCAGTCCAATTGGATAGCCATTGGCCTTAGAATCGCCAATCAAATTAGACCGGGGATTATACCTTGTTCAACGCTGAAGGAGGTGTAATTGGCACGGCCATTGATGAGGATTCCATCAGGAAATGGAAGCTTTTTACCAAGATCCAAACAAGCCTTCAAGGTCTATGCGCCAAATTTCACAGCTCAAATTAAAAAAAGAAATAAAAAGCATTCGACCCATTTGGGGAAAAATAAAGAAGCAGCAAAGATAATGAATACCGTGTGATTGGAGCTGTACCAGTCTCCGATGAGAAGGGAGTAGTCACCGGCGGGATCAGGGAAGGGGACGGGGATGAGGGGGCGGCTGAGGATTCTGATGGCGCCGAAACCACCGGCGGCCTTGTGGAAGGCGAGAGAGGGGAAATAGTAAAAGCTTCCAATCTGATCCTTGACTTGGAGAATGTAGGTGAAGTTCTTTCCGGGAGGGATGGGGCAGGTTGTTCCATAAACACCGTCTTCGTATGAGTTCTTTCTCTGTTGAACTCCGTTCCTGCGTTGCAGAGTTGGAGTTGGAGTTGGAGTTGGAGTTGGAGTTGGGGGACATGAAAACAGGGTTAAAAGTAAAATAAAAACAAGTGAAATGGAGAGTAGAAATAATGACCAGGAAATGAGGAAGGGTTCATCTAAGCTGTTGAAGACATTGATAATAAGGTTGTCGTTAGTGACGCAGTGGATATCAGGGCCGGGGAACTGACCATTGATCAGTATGCCCTGCAGAAGAAGAACAGAAGAAGAACAGATGAGGGGCGGCATTAACGAGGAGATCAAAGAGAGTAGGAAAAAGGGAGAAGAAAGAAGGAACCTGCTGGCGGAGGCCGAGAGGGTAAATGTCGCCGTAGGAGACATTCCAGGTGAAGAAACGGTAAGGATCGTCTGCAGAGACGGCGGCGAAGAAGCAGAGGAATGCAGAGAGGGCGAAGGCCGGTGAAGTTAGAAGCAGCATTTTGGATTAGTGGGAAGAAGAAGAAGAAGAAGAAGAAGAAGAAGAAGAAGACGAAGACGAAGGGTTGAGATTTAAGGGGAGAAGAGAGAAGAGTATTTAAAGAGTGAAAACTGTGGGTTTAGCCCACCCGGAGAAGGAGGAATAAATCAAAATATGAACAGGGAGGGAAATCCACGTGGCAACGTGAGAATGGAAACCACTGTGGGGTATAAAAGTCAATACAATAGAATAGTATTTTTGTTATTATTATAAAAAAGAAACAAGGAAAAAAAAGAAGAGAGCAGAAGAAAAGTGTGGAATGTCGGTGGTGGGGTCCCACATTTAACATTAACACATTTACATTAATAAATTTTTGTATGTATTGTCTCTGAACGCGGAGAGACAATGATTTTCCTAACAATTCTCCTATCTGTAATACTCTATAATAAATTTAAATAATATATATATAAATATTAAAAAGATTACAGCAACCTTGGCTGATTAAGGAAGGAGGCTAAGAAAACATTCGAAACCCATTAATATTTTTGGCAGAAGGGTTTGGAAGGGATAAAGAGGGTGGAAGGAAGCTCACGCGTCAAACAAGAGTACGTGCCTCTAAGTTGAAGACACGTGAGACATGAGTGATCGAAGCCTCTAAGTTGAAGACACGTGAGACATGAGTGATCGAAGCCTCTAAGTTGAAGACACGTGAGACGCCTCTAAGTTGAAGAGACATGAGACGTGAGTGATCGAAGCCTCTAAGTTGAAGACACGTGAGACGTGAGTGATCGAAGCCTCTAAGTTGAAGACACGTGAGTGATCGAAGCCTCTAAGTTGAAGACACGTGAGACGTGAGTGCGTGATCTTCACAGGCGCCGTGAGCGATCGAGTGGTCAAATAGTGGTCAACGCCAAGTTGTGCAGAATGGGGGTTTCTAGTGCGTGTGACCTCATTCCAAACCTTGGTTCAATTAAGAGATATTGTGGCAAAATTACCATATTATAAAGAGATTTACAATTAAGTAAATTTTGGTAGGTTTGCATGTTAACCATGTGACTAGAAATTTAGTATAACAAGAGGTACGTGCCTCTTGTGATTTTAATTATAGTAATCATGAATGCATGTTTAAGATGTTGGCATGTTAGCAATTCAATATTAGTAGGTATGATGTATGTCTTATATTATGACATGTGTCTTAGTTTACTATTTTTAGTAGATGAGCCTAGGTGCCGATGAAAACCCCCAAGGCAACGATTGGAGGCAACGATTGGAGGCAACGATTGGATCGATGAAAACCCCCAAGGCAAACAAATAGGATGAACCCTTCGCCTCCCTCTCGATTTTGTGTACAATTCGTCATACACTCACTTACTTTTGAGCTCATTCTATATATTTAGATAGCCGTAATTGAAAATCTTTTGTAGCTCAGATAATAACAAATTAACCGAATAATATTAAGAAAGAAAAAAAAAAAAAAAGTATATTACAAACCTAAGGAATCTATAATGAAAGCAAAAGTAGAATGAAAAAAAAAAAAGAAAGGAAGAAAAATAAAGTTGAGGAAGGCAAGGCATTGATGGAATTCCGCCCTCAAATCTGCAAATATCCTTCAACACCTTCTTATTTTTCCTGCTCTCAATTGCCTTGCAAACGTCGTTTGATATCATTTGATAATATCCCTAAATATTCCTACAAAGTTCCAATCAAATCAAAGTTTTTAAATAAACAGAATTAAATAGAAATAAATAATAACAATAATAATAATAAAAAGACTGACCTCAGCAAGTGTGTCATGGCTGCACAACTCATCTGCAATATCTTCATTGTTGCAGCCAGAAACCTGAGCCGAACTCTCAACCACAGCGCGAAACACATCCATAGGAGAATTGGTAGATGTAATCCTTTGAGCAAGATCTTTATGGTCAATCTAAACATCATCAAATATTACATTAACGCATATTTTGAAAGTTAATTACATATTTGAATCTCAAACTACCGTGGATTGTTCCAAATGGAGCGTCAAGATTGAACTGCCGAGATCGAGAAGAAGCGCGCCGAACTGTTGCATCCTAAGTCCTACTTGCACTAACTCTTCCTGTATTTGACCCCTCACCATTGGATCGGTCGAGGAACCGTCTTGCTCGAAACGCTCAGCGATGCGCTACATGTTATTGCATATCAAAAGAAGCCAGGATTGAATCAAAAACTCGATTGTCCGAATATAATACTCACCGGAAGTGAATATATTGCATATTCACTTAGGAGGTGTTGTGCATTTCGCAAAACGATACTCAAAGATTTAGGAGTCTGCAGATCTTGGGGATTGGCGGGGAGTTCGAACCTTGGTAGAGCTCCTACGTTGTAAGAAAATGTAAAAAGATTAATTGGAACAAAATCAAGTAATGGAGGATACAGGGGTTTAAGATTTACCACCATTTTGAGAAACATTTTGAGAGATTGCTCGCTCGAAACGGTTCATGAACGCGGAGGAGTTGTTGAAGGATGGAGAAGAAAAGGGGGAAAGAAAGGAGATGAAATGAGAATTAGGGCAGGGAAAGAGAGGAATACAGAGGTATGATACTTAGAGGATGGGCGTTCATCCTTAGGGACCTTTCCCCGGAAAATCAAAGGGGATCCTATTTGGTTTGTAATGAAAGCGCAGGAAGAGGCAACAAAATTGAGAGGCCAAGAAAAATGGAAGGCTTACATTTTTTATTTTATTTTTTAATCTTCAAAGTCAATGAATTCTCCGAGTAAAACGCATCGGATCGGAGTTGCAGTCTCCACGTCGTATTTTACGGGAGGAAGTATTGGCTCCATAACCCTAATAATCCAATTGCGTGCTGCCACGTCCTAAATGTACGGAAATAGACTTTTCACCCTGTTTTTAAACGAAATTATTATACTTTTTCTTATTCAAAAAAAAAAAAAAAAACATTTTGATCCCACACTCTAAAATTCTGAACAATATAGCAAAAATTACTTTCTAGTGTTCAGAGTTTTTGGTGATGCAAGATTAGTTTTGTCTTAATTTTTCTCACTATTGCTATTAATTTTTCTCACTATTGCTATTGCTAACTAATATCATACACAATTAATTAATTTTGATGCTCAGATGGAATTAACTTTGATGCGAATTTTGCTTTTTAATTTAAGGAGTGGCACGCTAACTCTCGGTCTTGTCTCTTTATAAGTCGCATCAAGTTGGTCTAGTAATTAGAAGCTAGCTTGAGATTGATTGGAAAGACGGTCTTGTCTCTTTATACGTCGCATCAAGTTGGTCTAGTAATTAGAAGCTAGCTTGAGATTGATTGGAAAGACGGTGTATAGTAACCAAACGTTTTTTCCCTTGCAGCTATCTATTCATATTTAATTTTAGTTTTAACGAACAAAATCCAAGACACCTCCTATTTTCTTATCTAATTTGACATCGAAAAATTAATTGAATTGTCTGGATTCTATAAGTTGAAAAGTTGACCCATCTCCCGTATTGAACTTTTGCACTTCAATATCTATATGTCAACATCTAAAGAAAGAGTAGCATCGATGACACAATTATGAATTTCATAATAATCTTAAACAAAAGAAAATAAAAAAGTATTTTACAACCTATAGGCTCTAACGATTTAGGCCAAAACACCATATAAAAAGAGACTGTAACATCATAACTTATACCACCAGAAAAATAAGTTGAGAAATCTAATAATGTCCAAATTCAGCAGTGCCAATCTCCAATTTCCCTCCACAGATTTTATTTTTCCTGATCTGAATTGTCTTGTAGCCGTCGGTTTACATCACTTGATAATATCTCTACATATTCCTACAAAAATCCACAGGGATCCCATCAAAACTCAACGTCACACCATTGTAATGGGAACTGAAAAGAAGAGCAAACACTATGTAACAATAATATTTCACCTTAGCCAGTCTCTCATCACCGCACAACTCATTTGCAATATCTTCGCTACTACTGCCAGAAAGCCGAGCTGAACTCTCAACTACAGCTCGGAAGACATCCCTCGGAGAATTGGTAGACGTGATCCTTCGAGCAAGATCTTGGGAGTCGATCTAAAAACACAATAGTTAGTTAGGCTATAAAACTTCACCGCACGCGAAATAGAAAAGAGATCCCACATTCCAAACCACCCACACTGAAAATTATAGAAAAACGGCAGAAAAGCATGAAAGAAATAAGTCAGGAGGAAGATTCAAATGGTTAACAAGTGTAATGGACCATGAACCTCAGTCATCATGCTACTCCAGAAACCGAGTATGAAAATTTTCAACTTAGATCCGAGTATGAAAATTTTCAACTTAGATCCGAGTATGAAAATTTTCAACTTATTGGGTAATATGCTCTCCACAAGCAAACATAGTACTTCAACAAGTCACAGAATTTGTATCAGACGGGTTAGACAATTTACAAAATTATACATGGGAAGATAATATGAAAGACATGAATTAAACAAACCTGAAAATTTTGGTCGTTAGATGTTTCTACTCCACTACCAGACCTCTCACTATGAGACCTTGGCTTTATATCAACATTTGGAAACGGCGGTTGCCTCGTCTCTCGTTCGATGTTTGAGGAAGACAGTTGCCCTGGCCCTGCTCCCCCAAGCACTTGAGAGACAATAGGCATCATCTGTTGGAGCATGCTGGACAAATCGATACCACCACCTTGGCCTCTTCCTGACCCAGCAAACATGTGCTCGAGATCTTGAGGGTCAACCTGCTGAGCAATTTGGTTGACTGTGTTTGTCATCTGAGGGCTCTGCGTCAGCTGTTGCAACATGTTCCTCAATACATCAGGAGAACCAACGCCAGTTTGCTCTGAAAGCCCAGTCAATAATCCATTCAAAGCAGGACTCTGCAAAACTTGGTTCATACTGCTTCCGATATCAAATTGATTATCAGAACCTGGCCCATGCAAGGATCTGCTATCCAGAGTTGGGCTAGCAGTCGAGGGCTCATGAGCATTTGACCTATTCATAGAAGCACTAGAGGCAAGAGATTGTGAAAGCTGCTGGCCCGTAGAGCCTTGATTGTAGCTGGTTCCACTGTTACCCTCCTTAACCTGTGACCTTTGCTGCTTTCCTCGCCTCTAGTCAGCCAATACAAAGAGGAGGAAAGAAAGAGGAAATAATTAAGAAAGAAAGAAAGAAAGAAAACCAAAGAGAATTGTGAATTAATATCCAGTACAAACATGAAATTATCCCTTAGATATGGAGTCTCATCTCAATATCATTGATGCCCTATCACGCTTATACTTGTGTCTCATAATTTACTAAAACAATTAAAGCACAAGTACCAAGTGCTACCCATCGCCAATAGGCAAAAACGTGTATAGTTCAACAATAGGACACCGGAACAGTAATCTGATATCAAAATTTGAAAAATAAATAGCTTAATCTTACTGGTCGTTCCAAGCCTCCCAGTCCAAGTCCAAGTGGAACAGCTTGAGAAGACCCGGCTCCTGAGCTCTTCTCATATGATGCCTGACTCTGAAAATTTTCTTCATTTCCTCCAACAAATTCAGAGCCCCCACCACTAGAGCATGTTGGTAAATCAGTTGAGTTAGCCTTTCCTGTATCTCGCTGCGGTTGGTTACAACTATATTAGCATTTAATCTAATATAAGGACAAGCTTAAAAAAGAACTGGGGGGAGTGAGGAGGAAAAACATTGTACCAAATATCTACCTTGTCATTTCCAATATCACGGTTACGCAGATCACTCGACTCTCCACCCACATCCCTTTTCATATCACTTTGCTGTTCACTCCTTGCTCTAGAACCAATAGAAGAATTCTGAACTGCCGTTTGCACTTGACCTGAATACAAGATGTTCAGTAGAAATGAAAAAAAAATGCAATGTACTCATGTGATTAAATAAATGATTTACCTGATTCAGTAATGCTACCATCTCCAACATTACCAACTAAATCTCTAATTCGTAAATTGACATCAGCAATAATGGAAGATAATGAAACAAAGTCAGGAGTAGGCTGGGAAAACGAAATACCTTCACCAGGTTGCACAGCAGCAGAAATCGAAACGCCTAACGGATATGGAATAGCAGTCTCAGTAACACTACTCACAGTCGGTGCCTGTGCTCCACCTGAATTGGTCGAGCCACCAACATTCCGACGCTCTGCAAGTGCTCCCTCCTCCCCATTATTGGACCTGGTACCAACTGCGGAAAGGGTGGCAGAACTCAGGAGAAAGCACATGATATGAAGAAAACACACATCAAAACACTTCAATCTTCACCAGCATGTATGTGAATGTTGATGTGCCTAGGGGGAGCTCCAATTCCAACTGCACCAACAGCCACTGGGTTTGATGGTAGTACAGCACCTCCCAGGACGGGATTAGTTTGAAGGGGAAAAGGCTGCAAAATAAGATGTGAATTGTGAGAAAAACTCACAAAAGCATAGAACCTGATGCTGTAAATAAGTGAGATGACCAAACAATATCTATACTACAAACAGTATCTATGACCAAACAATTACATATTTTTGGATAAGTATAAAATTTTAAAAATCATATAAAAAAAATCTTCAACCTCTTTAGATAAAAACGTTGCCTAAGCTGAATAAAATTCCTTATAAGTACATTTTAAGAAGGTTATTGAAATGATTTACTTTTTAATTTACTGAAGTAATGTGTAGTTTTGAAGTATTTGATATTATTAATACATTGTGAAATTTATAACTTTACGATATGTATTTTCGTATTCAAAATTGAATAATTGTAAAAATCTTTATCAAAGAAATCATTAATGGAACTATCAGCTTCTTACCATTTAAAATCAATAAATCAAATGCTAATTAGTTATTGTTGAGGTTAATTGAATTTTATATTTAAAAACCATTCCTGTCATTAAAAAAGTGATGAGGGGGCGGCTTGATTGTGGTAGTCATGACGAACTCATTCCTATAAGCTATTTTTCTTATAATAAAACTAATTTAATAATAAACTAATTCAACAGCAAATCTCAGAAATTTTGTTATCAATCTCATGATGGTTACAATATACGTTTCACATATTTAACGAAAGCAAAATAAAACAAATCCATTCAGCCAGGGAAGCACTTGGAACACAACGGACACCTCAAACATACCAAAGACAAATCAGAAAAAGATAGAAAAAGAACAGGAATCAACTATGCTAGAGTAGATTCCCAATGCACATAACATAACGAAGTTGGTACATTGCATATCTCAATCATTTTTTAAATTAATTAGAAAAACAACCGAAGATGTCTAACCTGAACCATTAGGGGATTTGGCCCCATAGGAGAGATATACACTGCTGGGCCAGCATTGACAACCGACTCAGCCTGCAAAAAACCAAACAGAAACATTAGTACATTTTTAAATCACTAGTTTGAATCTCACTCACTGTATAAATAACGACTTACAGGTGACTGTCCCACACGGAATGTCAACATTGTACGGCCAAGTTCCAGAAGAAGCGCTCCAAATTGTTGTGTCCGAAGTCCTACTTCTACTGACTCTTCCTGAATTTGAGCTCTCACAATGGGATCAGTGGAAGAGCTATCTTGCTCCAAACGCCCAGCAATACTCTAAACATTAACATAGATGCATGAGAGTAGACTCATGTGATGATTATAAAGCATAGTTCAGATGAACATAAAGAAAAAGACGTCAATCATGAAATGCCAAGAAACTTAATGTTC